ATAACTGGCTCGAAGCTACAGACGGTAATGGATCTGCAGTACGGGTCATTTTGTTCGACTACCGTAAAGCGTTTGATCTCATAGATCATGGCATCCTAATCACCAAATTGAAAGAAATTGGTATACCAAACAGCATCAAAAATTGGATAATCGACTTCCTCTCAGATAGATCACAACTAGTGAAGCTTAGTAAGGACTGCCTATCAGACTGGGGCAAGATTCCCTCTGGTGTTCCCCAGGGTACCAAACTTGGACCCTGGTTATTCCTACTAATGATTGACGACTTGTCAGTTTCTGAAATTTTCAACATGTGGAAATATGTCGATGACACTACAGTGTCGGAAACCATATCAAGGGGGCAACACAGCCATGTACAACAGGCAGTGAACCAAGTTAATGAATGGTCAAAGGAAAACTTGATGCAACTAAACAGCGAAAAGACAAAGGAACTGATCATAAGTTTTAACCGACCCCATCCTCCACAATTCTCACCTAGTATTATAGACGAAAATCCCATTTTGAGGATAACCAAAGCAAAGTTACTCGGGTTAATGATTAACGATAAACTTACATGGAACGATCATATTGAGGAACTAGTGAAGAAGAGTTCTCGGAAGCTGTATTTTTTAAAACAACTCAAGCGTACGCAAATACCATCAAACGATTTGGTTACATATTATTGTGCATGCGTTAGATCTTCTTTGGACTATGCATGCCCAGTATACCATAGCTCTCTACCAAGTTACCTACATGACGAGCTGGAAAAGGTCCAAAAGAGAGCTTTAGCGTGCATTTTCCCAGGAATACCTTATTCTGATGCTTTGGTATTGGCGGAAACTACCTCCTATTAAAGACCACCACAGCACAATTACAAAGAAACTGTTCCAGTCCATATCCGAGAACCCAAAAAATAAAATCCATCACCTGATTCCAAGTGCTAACAAAAATCCTAAATACAATCTTAGGAAAAATAGGAAATTTTCACTACCACTAGTAAGAAAAGATTCTCGGACTCATTTATTATGCGTGGTAGTACCAACACACTTTATGATTAGTGTAGATTATTATTAAAATCTCTAACAATATAGATTTTATAACTTTTAAAATAAGACTTTGACTCTTAAAGAAATTTTAGTTAGTAAAGTAGTTAAGTTGTAATTTTTTTGTAAAAGTTGCGCAATTCAGTGTAAAACTGCAAGGTAACTTATTAAATAATCTATCTATCTATCTCTATCTCATGATCATCTCTCTATCTGTCAGCATCAATTTTGGTGATGCCTCCATATCTAAGATTCATTATCATGTTAAAGTCTACACTTCCTGTGAATTTGGTGCTTTCTTCACAAAGTGCACGATTTTCTCAAATATCTGTGTATATCCGCTGGACTAAGTTTTGTTGGGCAAAAAAGCCAGTTGGGCAATATTCGCTTCACAGTCGGGCAATATTTGGTTATCATAAAAATAAATGGGACAAATTCTGTCAATTTTGTGGAAAATTTTATGTCAATTTTTCGATTTTTTGGGAAAAATTGTTTTCGGCACTTGTTGGGCACAATCCGAAAAAGTCGGGCAAATTTCTTTCTCCCCCCCCCAATTTTTCCTTCCCGAACGCCTATGAAGATCTCTCCTCAAAATCAAAGTCGAAGGCGAAGAAACAACATGGCCGATAAACTGAGAAGAGCGAGCTCGATCTGCCGAATTTATCTCTTCTCAATATGAGCGAGCTCGATCTGTCGAATTTATCTCTTCTCATTATGATGAGCTTTCTCAATTTAAAGAAACAGCCAAAAGATAGATACAAGATATACTTACTAGAGTCAACGAAATTTCAGAAAGATGTGATCTGATTGCGAAAACTGTCGAAGAATCTGAAGCATACAGCTATCAGTTCAATGTTAAAATTGTGGGAGTACCAGAAATAGCCGAAAAAGAATCTGCCCAACAGACTGCTAATCTCTGTATCAAGTTATTTACTGCTTTGGGAGCAGAAGATGTATCTTTGAATGATATTGACACGGCACATCGAGTACCATCGCGATTGGCTTCAAGCAGACCAAAAGCTATCGTCTGCAAGTTTGTGCGAAGACTCGCGAAAGAATGACTGCTAGAAGAAACGTCGGAAGCGTGAATGCGGAGTAGTTGGGTCTTGAAATCCACGCAGATGTAGGTCATATTAATCTATATGATCACTTAACACCGAGAATTCACGAGCTTTTGTACAAAGGCAAACAATTTAAATTTATTAATGATTTCAAATATTGCTGGGCGAAGAATCGCGTTCATCTGCGAAAGACGACAATTCAAACATAATTATATTGAAATGTTTGGAAGACTTAGAAGGAATGACGCTGCCAAGATAAGTGTATATGTGAAGTACAACTGTGTATATCGTTTTAAACACTCATAAACATATGTTTGTGATGTTACTCTGAGTGCATATCCACACCGGGCGAGCTTGAAAAATATGCCCGGCAA